TTTTGCAGCTAATAATATCCGCTGAGAAGTTTAGTACTTAGCGAAGATAACTGTATGGCCCGAGTATTGGCTTTCTGGTGTGCCCAGAAAAAAAAATCCCTGATTTTGCTTAAAAATTCGCTAGCGAATAATTCATCGACTGTAAACCGGAACAATAACAATCAAATAAAAATCTAAAATACTGGTGAGTACAAGGGCAAAATTGGTCAGCTAACGCTATTCAATAAAATTATTGGAAAATGAATGCTGCTTAGGCAACTGCCCAGATAAGACAATTATCACAAAAACAGGGTACAAAAAAAGCTAAAAAATTACAGTATTTTAATTTATAAAATTATATTAATCATAATAAAAATGGAAAAATCTCATACACAACTTGGGCTAAAAATTACAAAACATGGGCATAAAATGTGCTAGAGAAATCTACTATGAAGTGATATGTAAGAAGAGAATAGGTAGATGACCCGCCACAAAGAACCCCTTCTTGGACGGATGATAACCATCGGAACCGCGATTTCAGAAGGCACAACTCACGAAACAGTGCTCATTCATGCATTTTGGTGAAGAAACGAAAAGCAATAACAAAATGGAACTTGTGAACCCCTCACATGCACAGAAATAACCCAGAAAATTAATTCACAAAATTCAAAATGCGCCAAAAAAGGGTGCTCGTTTTATGTGGTGCACGTTACAGTTGATTTTGAGAAATTCTTTTTAGAAATTTCGGTATCTCTGCGAATTCTTATGCAAATATTTCCATTTCCTATGATTTCCTACAAATATTTTCATTCTCTACGATTTTCTACAATACTATTGAGCTAAACTATTAAGTGAAGAATCGGCATGCATGGAAAAAAGCGTGAGACATTCAGCATTTCCCGATAAAAAGCGAAAAAAAACGTCGTCCGAGCAAACAAAAAGGAGCACTTCCTCTAATCACAGCAACCATGGCAAGGTTTTCAGCTGTATCGCGATGGCATGGAGATTTGCGGTTACAGTGAAACATCCACTATTCAGAGCGGTAAAATAAAAGATGAAAAACTATTCTTTGTTTTTAATACCATCCCTATTGGCGCCCCAGTTTCGACGGACTTCATTTGACGAGGGGAACCAATTTCCGGAAAAAATAAAAAAAAAACAAACAAAGCGAAAGGAAAAAAAAAAAAAAAAACTAAAAAATCCCTTGAAATGCATTGAAAGCATGCTTTTGGGTCCCAAGTTTGAAAACGAACTGCAGAACGATGAATAACTGAAAGACTGTGAAAAAAAAACTTTCCACAGCAAATAAAACTGAAAAAAAAAACCCAGAAAATCTCAGGAAAAAAAACAGGAAACCTCTAGTATCATCTTATTTTTTTCTCACAGCACCAGTCGTTTTTTCTAATCCGTTCTCTCGAATCCCACCATATCAGGCCTATCATTTATCAATCGCTATTCATGTCCCACCGGTCATAATCACTATTTTACAGCCCCATAATCCTTCTCATCATTTTCATAATCAATCTCCTTGTCAGTCGCCTGGTTCGTCTGATAATCCGCTCGAACCAAGTTGCCCGTGGCTGATATTTGCCAGACCACACAACACGAACATTTCGGCTCATCAGTCTATAGCCTATGACAAAGATACAAACAAGAAAGGCAGCAGAGGACATGATGGCAAGCCACAAGAGGATAACAAGCATGATCATTGAGAGCATCTGGGTAACGGCAGCATGCGACGG